CTAGATTTGTCTATGCATTTTCCACTCCCTCTTCTCTGTAGGCACAAAGCTGGTTTTTCAGAATCACCTCCCTGTCTCTAGGAAGAGTGAAGTTTAACCATACAGGGAGACAGATGCCTCCCACAGCCTTCAATATTTTCAAAGAAAGTTCTTAGTCATCTCTGAGTAACATAATCCACCAGGGAGTTTTCCCTGTTTTCAAGTTGACATCCCCATGGTGACCATTTTAGCTTCTTTCTAGTACTGTTGTCTCTGAACGCTGGTTCCGTATCAATGCTCATACAATCTTAGTTTGCCATTCTTTGATAAGAGGGCAGAATCTACAGTGAAGGGAGACTACTGAAAGTCCCATTTGTTTTTCTCCAGTAAATTAAGAACCTGTAAATTATAATTTTGGTGGTTGTTGAGAATACTGTAATCCCAACTAACTCCATATAAATGCAGGAGACTCTCTAGATATCCAATTATAATATTTACATATAATTAGTCTGTTGAGGAGTATCATCTTGTAGCAACACAAAATGGTTTTATTTTTCCCACTCTTTACTTTCAACTGTATTGGGTTGAATTCTATTTTCCTGCTGGGAAGCAAGTTCCTTAGCAACATCTAATTTCCTGTCATTTTCAATTATCAGTAATGTCTCATTTGGGTATTTAAGACCTGGTCTTGTTCATTTAAAACATATTAATCTCAAACTTGATTCAAAGTATATCCTCCCTCTCCTGCAGTTATTTGGAGTGAATGTGTGGATGTGCATGTGTTTTTTGGGGATTCTCTGGTTCTGAGACACTTTTCCTTCCCTTCTCTAGGACCTATTTCTTCTAGAGTTGGGGGCTGCGAGGAGGGAGGGAGGAGGCTGAGGCCCTTTTACATGCTTGCTGGAATGTCAGTGTGAGTAGGTCTCAGGCCACACTCACCCTGGTTCTGACAAATCCTTTTGGATAGAGTGTTCTCTGCTGAAATGGTGTTATTCATAGTTTTCTTGGGTGAGACCATTCCCCCACCTCCACAGCTGCAGAAGTGTGCTCTGCCTCCCCTGGCCTTGTCAGTGACATACCATAGCTGGGGCAGCCCTCAGAGCTTCTTCATGACGGTGATGGGACCACTGTGGTGTCTTCTGCCTCCTGAGAACTGAGCAGAACTGGATGGTGTGGGACTTTACCGTCTTTCTCGCAGGCACACCGCATTGGGTCTCACATGAATGTCTAGATTTTGCTGGGCATTAGACTTAATGTTCACATGAACCTTACATTTCAGAGAACATATGTTTAGGCTCCCCATGGTACACCATCCTCCCAGGCCTCCAGACACTCTCCCAGGGACTGTCAGTCCCCTGCTCTGCAGTGGTGGCAGCACCTGGGGGCCTGGATCCTGCTGCCCAGTAAGGGTCCAGTTGGGAAAGAAAGTGCCCTACTCCACTTCTCACAGGTGCGCTCTCAGGGAGCAGCCTGCTGTCTTGACTTTGAGAGGAGGAAAGAAAGTGCCCTTTCCCTCAAACACGGACCTCTTCACAATGCTGAGCATTTCTGATTCCCTAGTACACTGGTGGATGAGGTCTGGGGAGAGTGTGGCACAGGTGAGTACAGGAGGAATTTGTTGGTGGTAGGACAATTTGTGCTGCCTCTCACCAAGCCCTGTAAGGAGATGGTTGGCTTCAGCTGCTGGGGAATTTCTGTAGGATGTGGAGTCCTTACGTAACTTTAGTTTTCGACCAGAGCAGAGTTGTAGGATGCTGGAATATGACTTCTGTTATATACACATTACAACATGTGCCCACAGAAAGATGCATGATGACATATAAGTATATATCGAAGGCCCTGAAAAGACCAGGGTACCCCTCTCATACATGATTTACAAAAAACCCACTAACCCATAACAAATTCAAAGAAATACAACACATTCTCATTTTCCCCATGACCATGATTTTTTTCCCAAATGTCAAATTTCAAAGTCCTAAAAAAATGTGGGTGCCCTGCATTCCTGGTGCCCCAAACACATGTTTATTTTGTTGAGGAGCCAGAAAAAACCTCACAGTCTTACTGAGAAGTTTAAATAAGTGAATAAAGATGAAAGTACTCTTTGTGATCCACAAATATATCCTAGTATCATGATGACATATGATTGTATATGAAATTTTCTACATAGGAATATATACACCAAAAACTTTATTTTAGTTTGGTATGTGAAAAATAAGTTGGGATGTGAAAAAATCAATTTTACTCCATCAGTCTGGAGTACAATTTTTCATTTAATTTGTGTATACTAATCCATTAAGATTGCAGCCAGTCTTCAGCTAGACTGACTACGTTTTAAGCCTGAATCCATGATTTTAGACAAGCAGCTTAATTTCTCTGAGCCTCACTTTCCTCATCCATAAAATGGAGATAATAACAGTATCTACCTCATGGAATTGTGAGAATCAAATGGGTTAATTCATATAAAAACACTTAACCTTAAACATATGCCTGGCACATAGTAAGCTCTCAAATATCAGCATTACTGTATGCTTATATTAACTACACAGAAAAATGGAAAATTTCTTATTTTTTCTGTATTTTGGATATTTTCAATAGAAATGAAGTAGATAAAACTAATATTTACTTTGTGATCAAATTGATTTTTAAATATTTACCTTAAAGAATTACCTGGGGTGTGGGGTTAGAGTGGTACGAAAAATCTGTTGATATGACCAGAGGCAGACTTACTTCTTACTTGGGTTTAGGGTAGCAGCAGTACATTGCACCAACTTTTAACTCAAAGAGCAGGACAAGTTATCCAGAACAGACAGACAGAACAGTTGACAACACACACGACCACTCATATTTCCAAGACTGTGAGGCTGGAAGTTCATTATTAAGTAACAGACCTATGTAACTCTTTCTTCCTATCCTAATTTACACGTGATCTCTTTCTGCCTCTTGAATATTCAGCTCCCCTCTGAAATGCTGCATGTTTGCAGATTGATACTGAAGGGAAAAGTTTGACCTAACGATTCTTCTCAAATGACTTTTTGTTATTTCCTTTATTGTCCCAGCCTCATTGCTTTCCTACCTTCTGATCATACACAGCCCTTTTTAGGTTTACTGGCTTTCCCAACTCAAATAGAGTTAGTTGAATTTTCTGGAACCAGAGGCAGACCATTTATTACTTATTTCCTTACATCTTTTCTATTTTTGTCTTTTCATTTCAAGCTTTCATTCTACATTCGTCACAGGTGCGAGGTCTTAGAAGCCTTGATCTTCCCAGAAAATATTTGCCAGGTTGTAATTTTTTATTTGTTATCAACAGCCAAATTTAACCAAGGCTAATCTTGTTCTAATTTGGTTTGTGGAAGACCTAGTCTTGGTATTTAGAGAAAGTAAATGTGAATTTCTGTTTTTTTCTTCAGTATGTGTTATTCACTCATCCCTCATGTACTGCAATTAATTTTTTTTAAACAAAAATAATTTGGGGGCAGGAGAAACTCCATTTGGATCCAAACTTTAAACAGAAAGTATTTTGCCGAGAACACTGAAGTAGGTAGAGGGCTGAGGAGGAGGAAGGCAGCTAGGGATCTGTTTGATAGCCTATTCCTGTTATCATCCTCTGTCTCATTTTTCTCTACCTCGGGGTGCTCCTGAACCATTCCAGCTCATTGAAGATGCCCCCCTCACTGCAGCAACCCTGAGTGACAGTTGCTCTCTGTGCATGGGTTCCTGTGGTGACCGCCTGCTATAGGCTGGATTTGTAGATTGCAGGGGCACAAATCCTAGTTTTATGTGTATATGTTTGGGCTTCCATATGTTGTACGTGTATATTTGCTAATTGCGGAGGCAGAATTTCTGATGCATGGCCGGGGTGGGAAGTGAGGGCGTGCTGCCGGTGGCTGTTGAGTATGTCAAGAGAGGTTTTCTCAAATCCTAATTGAGTTTCAGAATAGGCCTCTTAATCAGAGGCTAAATTCAGATTCAAGTCCCTCAAGCAATAGCTTACAAAAGCACACGTTTGTATTCTCTTCATCCCTGGTTGCATCACAAGGTATGTTCCTTGCCTGTGGCTGCTGGCTGCTATTATATTAGAGCATCAGTTTCTCCTGACTTTCTTTTTATCAGAACCTGCAGGTCCTACCTGGCCAAAAAGTGTCAGCTCAAGTTGTGCCTCCTCCAGGAAGCTCTCTGTGACCACTTCAGTCCAGCACAATGTGTCAATATTCTAAACCAGTCATCAGCACACTACAGTTTATGGGCCAAATAAAGAAAAGTTTTGTTAAAATACACCTACATCCATTTGTTATTGTGCATGGTTGCTTTTGAGACATAGTGGCAGAATCAAACAGTTGTGACAGAGACTATATGACCCACAAGCCTAAAATATTTACTTTTTGGCTCTTTATAGAAAAAGTTTGCTGACCTCATTCTAAATTGAGGGGCTTAATGTATGTATCCTTCAGCATGACCTGCAGTGAATGCTCCTTATTTTTTGGTTTGCAAAACTTTCATTTTTAAATTCAGCATAGTCTTTCAGTATCTCCCAGACATTTTGGACATTGAACAAATAATCTCAAAATTACACACTTGAAGATTGGGGTGAGTCTGGGCAAGGGACAGAGAGAACCCATAAAGCAATTTTATTTTTAAGAGACAAAACATTTATTTGTTACTGTTGTCAGGTGTTTGCAGAAAATGCTCTCAGAGAATAGTTTTGTACCTAAACCAGTTCCTTCCAACCCAGAACTATTACTTGTTACTGACCTCAGTTTAAGAATATAAATCTTACATTTTTCTAAGGATGTGTGAAGATATAACTTGATTAAAAAATAATTTATATGGAAATTCAAATACACATGCACAACATTAGAAGGTTAGCATTTGCTTTAAAAAATAATGCTTAATGGGATCCTTTCAGACGCTCACGTGCTCCACTTTGTCAGGGTCTGACTTGCGATAGGTATTGAGGTGAGAAAATACTTAACTCAGTGATTCAAAGCTAGATTCATTTCGTTTTCTTCTCTCCTGCCTAGTGGTCAGCCCATTCCCAGGGTGGAGTATACTGAAGAAGAAACTAAAACTTGGGGCGTTGTATTCCGGGAGCTCTCCAAACTCTATCCCACTCATGCTTGCCGAGAGTATTTGAAAAACTTCCCTCTGCTGACTAAATACTGTGGCTACAGAGAGGACAATGTGCCTCAACTCGAAGATGTCTCCATGTTTCTGAAAGGTAAGATTTCACACAGGCTGTCTCTTATTAGTCAATATCCTCAATTGCCTTCCAAGGACACAGGTTGTAGCAATGGCTCTTTTTCCAAAAGAGGAAAAATAGTGATTTAAAAAAATAGTTGGCTTTGAGCCAACAATTAGCTGTGACCACCTGTGGGAAGCAGAGCAGGGACTCAGCTGCTTTTGCAGCTCTGGGGCTTGCTGAAGCCTCTTTGTGGCTGGCTGCTGTAAATGTTAAGGCCCAAAGGATATTTACAAGTTCAGCTCTGAGCTTTTTCTGATCCAGGAGCTGATATGCTGGGCTATATGAGTATGAAATGACCTCCAAAGGTGCCTTTTTTTTTGCACTGTTAAAAATTATGTACTGAATGATGAAATCTTATGGATAATGTTGAATATTAGTGACTTTCCTCTGGGGGAAATCAGGCAACTGTCAGAGGCGTTTGGACCAGAGCAACTCCATCTTGAATACGGGCTGGGTAAAATAAGGCTGAGACCCCCTGGGCTGCATTCTCAGGAGGTTAAGGCATTCTAAGTCACCGGGTGAGACAGGAGGTCAGCACAAGATACAGGTCATAAAGACCTTGCTGATAAAACAGGTTGCAGTCAAGAAGCCAGCCAAAACTCACCAAAACCAAGATGACGATGAGAGAGACCTCTGGTCATTCTCACTACTTGTGAAACACTAATCACAAGGCATTGGCGTGCTAAAAGACATTCCCACCAGTGCCATGACAGTTTACAGATGCCATGGCAGTGTTGAGAAATTACCCTAGATAGCCTAAAAAGGGGAGGAACCCTCCGTTCTGGGAATTGCCCACCCCTTTCCTGGAAAACTCATGAATAATCCACTCCTTGTTTAGCATGTAATCAAGAAATAACCATAAAACTGGGCAACCAGTGATCCATTCCACAGCTCTGCCTATGGAGTAGTCATTCTTTTATTCCTTTACTTTCTTAATAAACTTGCTTTCACTTTACTCTATGGACTCACTTTCAATTCTTTGCGTGAGATCCAAGAATCCTCCCTTGGGGTCTGGAATGGGACCCCTTTCTAGTAACAAAACTAGTCAATCAATTAACCAATTGATCAATACTTTACGTTATAATTTGTGTGTCGGGGATTGTACTTGTTGCGGATGTTACACTAGTGAACCCAGTGAGTCATACAGTGACATCATTTCACACTGTACGTGGATCCCTTCACTGACAACACCTCCTTGGAACAACAGCTAGGAAATAGGCTTGTGAGGGGTTGGGGGAAGAGGCAAAGTTTCATGGTGGTCCCGCTTCCTCCTCTGTTTTTCCTTGTGCTTAAATCCTTGGATTCTCTGCCTTTTCTCTCTCTTCTTTCAAGTGCTATAGTTCCAAAAGCAAAAACTTCATTGCCTGCTCTCTTTCCTGGAACTTGCTTTCTTGCTTGTCTTCCCAGTTTCTATCAGTACTGTTTTCTCTGCACTCTTCAGGCTTGCCTATAAGGACTCCTCTGAATTCCTACCCACCTGATCCCCCAATACCACACTCAGTCCTTCTTTGTGTTAGTGTCCAATTATAGCTGTAACACATTACCACAAACTTTGTGACTTAAAACAACACAAGTTATCTCACAGTTCGGGAGCTCAGAAGTCTAAAATCAGAGTGTTGACAGGGCTCATTCCTTCTGGTGGCTTCCGTGCCCTGGCCTTTCCCAGCTTCTAGAGTCCTCCTGCACTCCTTGGCTCGTGGATTCACCTTTCCATCACTCCAACCTCTTGCTTCCATTGTCATATCTCCTTCTCTGACTCTGACCCTCCTGCCTCCCTCTTATAAGGACTCTTATGATTATATGGGCCCCACTCAAATAATCTAGGACAGCCTCTCCATCTCAAGATCCTTAAGTTAATAACATCTGCAAAGTCTCTTTTGCCATGTAAGGTCACATACTCACAGATTCAGGGGATTAAGATGTAGGCATCCTTCGGGGGCCATTATTTAGCCTACCACAATCTCCCCCTGTTGCCACTTATGGCTTCATGACATGTGGTAAATCTGTCCTTTTCTTTCCATTCTACTGCTACCACCCAAATTGAGGTCCTCATCATTTTGTAACCTTGATGCCTGTATTTTCTTCCCTTAACTCTCCACTGCCCATAAACATTACTTTCCAAAACATTACTTTTTTTCTGACATCTCTGCTCAGAAACTATCATTGGCGGCCGGGCGCGGTGGCTCAAGCTTGTAATCCCAGCACTTTGGGAGGCCGAGATGGGCGGATCACGAGGTCAGAAGATCGAGACCATCCTGGCTAACACGGTGAAACCCGTCTCTACTAAAAAAATACAAATCTAGCCGGGCGAGGTGCGGGCGCCTGTAGTTCCAGCTAGTCGGGAGCCTGAGGCAGGAGAATGGCGGGAACCGGGAGTGGAGTTTGCAGTGAGCTGAGATCCGGCCACTGCACTCCAGCCTGGGCGACAGAGCGAGACTCGTCTCCAAAAAAAAAAAAAAAAAAGAAACTAATCATTGGGCTCCCTCTTGTTTTCACTGGGACTGGCAAATTGTTTTGTAAAAGGCCAGATGGTAAATATTTTAGGCTTTTTGGGCCAAGAGGCAAAATCAAGGCTATTACATAGGCTATATTTATAGCCATTTAAATGTGTCTGTTAAAAAATATAAAAACTGGCTGGGTGTGGTGGCTCACGCCTGTAATCCCAGCACTTTGGGAGGCCAAGGCTGGTGGATCACTTGAGGTCAGGAGTTTGAGACCAGCCTGGCCAACATGGCGAAACCCTGTCTCTACTGAAAATACAAAAATTTTTGTATTTTCTGTAGTCGCAGCTACTGGGTCTGCAGGACGCCTGCAGTCCCAGCTAGTTGTGGGGCTGAGGCACGAGAATCGCTTGAACTTGGGAGGCAGAAGTTGTAGTGAGCCGAGATCGTGCCACTGCACTCCAGTCTGGGTGATAGAGTGAGACTCTGTCTCAAAACTAACAAACAAAACTATTCTCACTTACGGGATGTGCAAAAACAGGCAGTGGGCTGGATTTGGCCTGCATGTGATAATTTGCTGATCTCTGTTTTACACGCTCAAGTTTGAACAGCTCAGCCTCAATCCGAGGCCCTGACCCAGGTTTCCAAGTTAGTTTCCTGCTGCAACTGCCCTGTACAACTGCCCTTGCTGTGGGCTCTCTTTACCTTTGCTGAAACTCTGTTCCTTACTAGAAAATTTCATCTCTTCTCCACCTACTCAAATTCTACCTGTTCTTCAGGACTCACAGCAAATCCTGCCTCCTTCATGAATCTTGATCGTAGCAGCCACCATGATCTCTCCCACTCTGATTTCATTCTGTGTTATGTGTGAACATCATCTACTATGTTTGTTATTGAGGAAAAGAGATTGAGAACTACGGATCAGTATCACTTAATTAACACCTAATTACATCATGCCTTACGTTGTTGTTTAACTACACTGTATTCTCCTGTCTCGTTCTTCTTTGTTTCCCACAGAGCTATATACATGTTACTTCTTTACCAAGAGCTCCTTATATGGAGATGGTTTTTTACTGCATTGTTCCCCAAACCCCAATAGTTAGAATATCACCTCATAAATATTGCCATATTTGCTCCCCCAATTAATATTCTTATGAGAGGCAGTATGGTCTAGTGGCTTGGACCATAGACCCTGGATGTAGAATGTCAGGGCTTGAGTCCCCACTCTGCCCCTTCCTAGCTATGTGACCTTAGAAGAGTCACCTTAACCTTTCTGTGTCTCTGTTTCCTCCTCTGTCAATGGAGATAGTAATTTTATCTACCTCACAAGGTGGTTGGGAGGAGAAATTAATTGATATACCTTAAAGGCCTAATGTGCCTAACACACATTAAGCATAGCAGAGTCTTAGCTATTTCTTTTATTATTGTTTTCCACAACCCTTGGTGAACTGGATATATCGCCTAGTTTGTATCACACACTGGCATGTAGATAGTATGATTTAAGTATAGGTGTCCTTATATAATTTCATTGACTCACTTTTAAAATACCTAATTTATTTAAAACAGAAACTTTTAAAGCAATGGTATCTACAGATTCAAAGTTCTTGATGTCATGGTTTTATATATTTTTTAATTCACATAAAAATAAAATACGTAACTATTAAAATAAAAAATGTTCCTCTGTGTACTGTTATATATGTCCCACATATGGGATATACTGGCTTAATTGATGTAATATGGAAAAAGAAGAAAATACACTTATCTTTTGGATATTCACCAGGGAATAATCCAAAGTGAAGGCTTTTGGAATGAGCATAGTGCTGTTCAAATTATGGGTCTGAGGATGCCTGAGAACAGGTTATTTCCAGCAGGCACCAGAAATCCCAGGATGGGCCTGTTTTATAAGCTTAGTTGGTTCTTGCCTCTTAAGATCATTTTCAACCATTATGTGGTACTTTCCTAATGAGTTCAAGTTTTCAGAATGGGAACCTTTACAATGCTAGAATCAGGGATAAGAATAGCCTTCTAGAACATTATGCTAAGTGAAACAAGCCAGACACAGAAAGAAAAATACTGCATTATCTCATATGTGGAATTTGGAAAAGTTAAATACACAGAAGCAAAGAATAGAACAGTGGTTACAAGGGGCAGGAGATGGGGTAAGTGGGGGAGATATTGGTCAAAGAGTACAAAGTTGCAGTTAGATAGGATGAATAAGTCTAGAGATCTTTTTTTTATAATTATTATTTTTTAGACAGAGTCTTGTTCTGCTGCCCAGGCTGGGTGCAGTGGCGCAAGCTCCACTCATTGCAACCTCCACCTCCTATGCTCAAGCAATTCTTGTGCCTTGCCTGTGTTCCCCGAGTAGCTGGGACTACAGGTGTGTGCTGCCTATGCCAGCTAATTTTTTTATTTTTAGTAGAGACGAAGTTTTGACATGTTGCCCAGGTTAGTCTCGAACTCCTGGCATCAAACCATACCATCCACCCACCTTGGCTTCCTAAAGTGCTGGGATTACAAGTGTGAGCCACAGTGCCCAGTAATCCAGAGATTTAATGAATAGCATGAGGACTATAGTTAATAATACCATATTACATAAGGGAAATTTGTTACTAAATTGTATGTGTTCTTACCACACACACACACACACACACACACACACACACACACACGTGCACATATAACTATATGAGAAGAAAGATATATTAATGAACTTGAATGTGGTAATCATTTCGTTATTGCAGTTATTGAGGAAAAGAGATTGAGAACTACGGATCAGTATCACTTAATTAACACCTAATTACATCATGCCTTACGTTGTTGTTTAACTACACTGTATTCTCCTGTCTCGTTCTTCTTTGTTTCCCACAGAGCTATATACATGTTACTTCTTTACCAACAGCTCCTTATATGGAGATGGTTTTTTACTGCATTGTTCCCCAAACCCCAATAGTTAGAATATCACCTCATAAATATTGCCATATTTGCTCCCCCAATTAATATTCTTATGAGAGGCAGTATGGTCTAGTGGCTTGGACCATAGACCCTGGATGTAGAATGTCAGGGCTTGAGTCCCCACTCTGCCCCTTCCTAGCTATGTGACCTTAGAAGAGTCACCTTAACCTTTCTGTGTCTCTGTTTCCTCCTCTGTCAATGGAGATAGTAATTTTATCTACCTCACAAGGTGGTTGGGAGGAGAAATTAATTGATATACCTTAAAGGCCTAATGTGCCTAACACACATTAAGCATAGCAGAGTCTTAGCTATTTCTTTTATTATTGTTTTCCACAACCCTTGGTGAACTGGATATATCGCCTAGTTTGTATCACACACTGGCATGTAGATAGTATGATTTAAGTATAGGTGTCCTTATATAATTTCATTGACTCACTTTTAAAATACCTAATTTATTTAAAACAGAAACTTTTAAAGCAATGGTATCTACAGATTCAAAGTTCTTGATGTCATGGTTTTATATATTTTTTAATTCACATAAAAATAAAATACGTAACTATTAAAATAAAAAATGTTCCTCTGTGTACTGTTATATATGTCCCACATATGGGATATACTGGCTTAATTGATGTAATATGGAAAAAGAAGAAAATACACTTATCTTTTGGATATTCACCAGGGAATAATCCAAAGTGAAGGCTTTTGGAATGAGCATAGTGCTGTTCAAATTATGGGTCTGAGGATGCCTGAGAACAGGTTATTTCCAGCAGGCACCAGAAATCCCAGGATGGGCCTGTTTTATAAGCTTAGTTGGTTCTTGCCTCTTAAGATCATTTTCAACCATTGTGTGGTACTTTCCTAATGAGTTCAAGTTTTCAGAATGGGAACCTTTACAATGCTAGAATCAGGGATAAGAATAGCCTTCTAGAACATTATGCTAAGTGAAACAAGCCAGACACAGAAAGAAAAATACTGCATTATCTCATATGTGGAATTTGGAAAAGTTAAATACACAGAAGCAAAGAATAGAACAGTGGTTACAAGGGGCAGGAGATGGGGTAAGTGGGGGAGATATTGGTCAAAGAGTACAAAGTTGCAGTTAGATAGGATGAATAAGTCTAGAGATCTTTTTTTTATAATTATTATTTTTTAGACAGAGTCTTGTTCTGCTGCCCAGGCTGGGGTGCAGTGGCGCAAGCTCCACTCATTGCAACCTCCACCTCCTATGCTCAAGCAATTCTTGTGCCTTGCCTGTGTTCCCCGAGTAGCTGGGACTACAGGTGTGTGCTGCCTATGCCAGCTAATTTTTTTATTTTTAGTAGAGACGAAGTTTTGACATGTTGCCCAGGTTAGTCTCGAACTCCTGGCATCAAACCATACCATCCACCCACCTTGGCTTCCTAAAGTGCTGGGATTACAAGTGTGAGCCACAGTGCCCAGTAATCCAGAGATTTAATGAATAGCATGAGGACTATAGTTAATAATACCATATTACATAAGGGAAATTTGTTACTAAATTGTATGTGTTCTTACCACACACACACACACACACAGACACATACACACACACACACACGTGCACATATAACTATATGAGAAGAAAGATATATTAATGAACTTGAATGTGGTAATCATTTCGTTATTGCAGTAAGTCCTCACTTGACGTCATTGATAGGTTCTTGAAAACTGTGGCTTAAAGTGAAACGATGTATAACAAAACCAATTTTTCCCCTCATCAACATTATGACAGTACAATGTTGAAGGAAATGATATTATTCTGGGCACTGCTTTATGTCATTTCACTTAAAGACGCAATTTCCGAGAACCTTTTGACGACGTTGAGGACTTACTGTACGCGTGTATCAAAACATAAAGTTATACATCTTAAATATATACAATTTATATTAAAAATAGAACTGCTCTTGTGAGAAGAGAACAGAGCATAAAGCAGCTATTTAAAAATAGTCATGTACCACATATAGACTTTTCAGTCAACAATAGACCATATGCATAGTGGTGATCTTATCAGATTATAATACTGTATTTTCATCGTACCTTTTCTATGTTTAGATATGTTTAGAGACACAAATACTTACTAATGTGTTACAATTGCCTACAGTATTCAGTATAGTAATGTGTTGAACAGATTTGTAGCCTAGAAGTAGGCTGTACCATCTAAGTTTCTGTAAGTACACTCTATGAGATTTACACAACAACAAAATCACCTAACAATGCATTTCCTAGAATGTATCGCCATTGTTAAGCAATGCACGACTTTATACAACAATTTAATAAAATGTATATTCGGAAAAAAAAAAGAATACCCCTTCTATTGTAAGTTTTCTGGGCCTTCCTGAGAAGAAAACATTATGTAACCCTTAGACTGAGAACACTCACAACTAATTGAATTAGTGGTATAGGACAGTTTTATAGACTTTATTGTATTCTTACTTTGTTTCCTCTTACCATAAACCAATAGAGCATGTAGGGCTTTGGTGTACCTCTTTAAATCATGATAATTAATATAACATCACAGAAAACAATATAGAATGAAGGAGTTAGCGGGTATGGGCAATAGAAAGCCTCAGTGTAAACTGATTTGAAGATGCTAGTGAAGGGGGTGCTTAGCTGTGTGTCACTGAACATGTGCACACAGAAGAGATCCCTAGGAAGGTCTCTTAGAAAGATACCAGGTGATGTGGAACCACATAACACCTGATTTCTGAGATTTCTTATCCTAATTGGGCTTCTGAATTTAAATCTCTAAATACTTTTTTCACCCTTCTTTTCATTTTTTTGAATGTCTTGTTCTCCTGGAAACCATCATTTGAGAGTGATTTTAGTCATCAGAAGCACCAAACATGATAGCTGTTAACAGTATATGTCATTCAGTTGTCAAGAGGTTTATGACCTTGATTACTTTGTTTCTGGATCTTCCTTATACATCGTGGAAGCTTCTGCATGGGCCCTCAAGTCTTGCTGGGTTAATATTTAGTTGGCTCTTTCTGTTGCCTTTTTAGAAAGGTCTGGCTTCACCGTGAGGCCGGTGGCTGGATACCTGAGCCCACGAGACTTTCTGGCGGGACTGGCCTACAGAGTGTTCCACTGTACCCAGTACATCCGGCATGGCTCAGATCCCCTCTACACCCCGGAACCGTGAGTACCTACATTAAAGCCCAGGCTGGACAGAGACCACCACACCACAAAGTGGTCAATGATCCCTTTACTTGAAAATGACTTCGGCCCTGTTTTACTTCCAAACTAATTTCTTTGAGTCAGTGAGAGTCACATCACTCACCTAAAGAAAAAAGGGCTCACTGAAGGTTCAGACTCCTCAGCTGGGTCCGTGGGGGTTCCTGATATTCCAGCTCTGGCTCGTTGCTCTAGCTTTACCCCAACACTGAGCCATCTGCTTGGCCAGATCTCCATTTCTGATGGGGAAGAGAAGGCACAGAAGTGTAAAGTAGACACTAACACATGGTCAGAACATGTGAGGCTCTCTCATTAGGAGGCCTCTTTCGTGTGAAGGAGGTTCATGTCCACACACCATAGCAACTCATTACTAATCCTCTCTCATCTCTTTCATCACCTCCAAACTCAGAACTCTGTGCTTTGCTCTGCCTGCCATTTTAGTTTCTTGACCACTTCTCTAGTCCTGCCCGTCACCTCCAGATATAGATGAGGTTTGTGATTCTTCTCTGGTTCTGTCAGTTTTCCTTTGGGGCTTTTATCCATTCTCTCCTGGACAATGGGTAAGCTGGGAGTGGGGAGAGAAGCTAAGAGGTGATGCTATACTGCTCTGACATGGGTAGGAAGGAGGAGTAAGCTGGGAACACCCACATGTTAATCATTTGGCCTAATCACACATGGGATTGCACGGTCTCCAAGTGTGAAATGCCCTGTATCATATTTCTTTGAGTGCTTTAAAATATGTAACAAGTATTTACTGGGAGACAACTACATGCTTGGATTGTCTGGGAATGAGACAGCATTCCTGCCCTTCCAGGTGAATGGTGAAGACAATGGTTAGCATACAGACAGACAGATAGGTAATATGGTGTCAGATGTAAGTGCTTCCATAAAGAGCTAATAAGTGCTGTGAAGACAAAGAGAGCATGGGGAGGAGACAGAGAGTCCTGGGTGCTGTTTTTTTGGATTGGGTCAGTACAGCTTCTTGGTAAACAACATCTGAGCAAAGACTTGAATGTGTATATGATGGGGTGGAGAATTTCAGGCCGAGAGAACAGCAAAAGCAGAGACCCTGAGGCTGGGAGCTCTGGGGTTCTTTTGCCTTCCTGGGCTCCATTAAAATGAGTGCCTTGCTTTAATCTTACCCCACTGTTCTTCAGGCCACTCAGGGTATCGCTTTGCTTATGATGCTGCTTTACTTGAATGCACTTGTGGTTAATGGGTTGCCATGGTCTTCACTGGGGAGCAGAGAAGCTTTTGAGGTTCAAGCAGTTAAGTAGCTCGTGGTAGTGGAAGTGAGCAAGGATAAGTCAAGTCTCTGAAGCACCCCCCTCTTCCTAGGCTGGCATAAGGCTCACTGTCCAGGTAGGTCCCTGTCGGGTCACTACCTTTTTTTTTTTTCAAGCTTTTTTCGGCTTCCCTGAAAGTGTTTTCAGGGTAAACAAAGGTTACTTATAGGACCCCAGACATTTGGAAAAGAAATGCTTCTTTCTGTGGAGTGAGAGCTCAAAGAAGCATTGTCAGAGTTAGAAAGGCAATCTCTAAATCTAGCCCAGAGGGTTTACAAATGGCCCTGTTTACAAATAGAAGGCACTTTGTTAGTTCCTATTGAATAACTGGCCCTCCTGAGACCTGTGATAGCGTGCCAATAGGTATGCAGAGAGAGAGAGAGAGGCAAAGAAATGAGATGTTAGCCACAGAGGATACTGTGTTGCATTTTTACCAAAGTACTTTCGGCCAATTCATTCAGCAAACATTTATGTGCAATGCTAGCAGGGCGGTGCAGTGGATTCAGAGATAAATAAAATATAGTAGCTTTTTTTTTTTTTTTTTTTAAAGCAGCTCACATTCTGGCAGCAGAGATAGAAACATAAATAACTAGGAAATAGTGTGGTTAGGGTTATAATTAGTGTGTGTACAAAGTGCTGGAGAGCACAGAGGAAGGCACAGTCCTGAAAGGCTTTTCAGAGAACGTATAACCTGTGTGGGGGTCTGGAAGGATGAGCAGAAATTTCATTTTTGTACAAGGCTGGGTGGGGAGTGAAGGGGAAGCTTTCCAAGTCAGGAGAAACAGCAAGTGCAAAGTTGTGGAGACACGCAAGAGGCATACACGTGCAAGGCTTGTTAGACCAGAATAGCCAGGGTACAGTTTATGTAGTAGGGATGAAATGTATCTTCAGGCCATGTTATAAATGACCATTTGTCAAACTAGGACATTTGGACTTTATTCTGTAGGCAATAAGGAGCTATCCAAGGTTCTTAGGCATAGTCAGGTATGTGTATTGGAGAAAAATGACTGGGGTAAGGACTGGGGAATTGTTGAGAATGAACCACATGGAAAACCGGCTGGGGAGCTCACATTCTATGAAGGAATATAGTTCATAAGGTGTGGAGCTAGATGAGGTCAGAGGTATAGTACAAGAGAGCACCTATTTGATGCCCTCTTAACACCATAGAGATGGAAGTAACAATATCCAGTGACTACAATAGGGTTGAGATGAAGGGAGGGCCCCTAAGGTAAGGCTAAGGTTTTTGTTTGGGATGCTGAGTGGAAAGTCATTTCTAATAATGACTGAGAATATTGGAGGAGGATCAAGCTTGGAGGGAAGAGAAAAGGAAAGAGGGAGGGAAGAGGAGGATGGGTTTAGGGTATGGTGTCTGTGAAGTGCCTATGGCTGGAACCTCCAGATGGAGAAGTTTCTCGTAGTTACAAATAAAGATGATAAGCTCAGAAGTGAATACAAAGCACCCACAATAGATTTGAGTAATTATTTTTCTCCCAAGTCTCCTATGACTACACAGATAAGAGGAGACTAAGTCAGAGGATAGAAACTTGGGATTCACTAACTTGGGGTTGTTTTTACAAGCCCTTTATTTTTTGTGGGTTTCATATCATTTGTATTTTTTTTTTTTTTTTTGACAGAATCTCACTCTGTCACGTGCAGTGGTGCAATCTTGGCTTACTGCAACCTTTGCCTCCCGGGTTCAAGCAATTCTCCTGCCTTAGCCTCCTTAGTAGCTAGGATTACAGGCATGCACCACCATACCCAGCTAATTTTTTGTATTTTTAGTAGAGATGGGGTTTTGCTATGTTGGCCAGGCTGGTCTTGAACTCCTGACCTCGGGTGATCCACCTGCCTCGACCTCCCAAAGTGCTGGGATTACAGGCCATTCATTTGGTTTTTTAAATTATTACTTTATGAATAGGTAATACATATGCATAATTCAGAATTTAAAGTGCACTAAAAGGTATATACTGTGAACAGTGAGTTTCTTTCCATCCTCTGTCCCCTTGATACCCAGTGCATCCTCTCCAGAGGCAACCACTGCTACTAGTTTCCATTTCATCCTTCCAGAAATATACTATGCAGACAAAATTCTCTGTAAAGATCTTTTTAATCCTTGTCTATTGCAAAGTCCTAAGTCCCTTCTCAGCCACATAGTTTGAATCTATGGGTACTACACTGGGAGGGATGTTTCCTGCCCAAGCACTTTCACAGGCATTGTCTTTGTAATGAAATCCCATTTCCTCAATTGAAAACCAACTGGAGGGCAGATTCTCCAATTTATGAAGTTCAGCTTGGCTACTGTGTTTGGTGCTTGTACTGTGCTTCCAAATAGCTGCTTTCAATTGCTGAACTGTTGTAGTGGAGGCTGCACTAATGAGACAAAGGTGAGCCCTGAAGACCCAGGTAGAAAGGAGCATGAAGCAACAAAAAAGACATTATCTGAAAAGAGAATTTTATTTTCGCTTTCAGTCCGGTAGAATGGATTTTGCCATCACAGCTTTCAACACACACTGGATTTTAAACATATCTTCGACTTCTTTTTACATTTTACAATTTTAAAGGCTCTGACTTCTCTAAACCTGGTACACTGGAAACCAAACCTCGCCATTACACAATATATTCCTGTAACAAATCTTCACATGGACCCCCTGAATCTATCAAAAGAAAAAAACAGTGATGGCAGATTAGACTGGTTTCCTGGGCGAAAGTTTTCCGGCCTGGAGGACAATAGAGAACCCCTGGTGAATTAGTGACTTCTGGTTTTCCTGGTGGGAGGAGTTGCTTTTCTATGCATTAATGCCTGGATTGAAAGGTCACTGATCTGCTAGAAGAGGAAATGGACTCTTGCCTTTTCTCCCTTTGAGCAGTGCCTGAGGCAATGAATCTACATTTCAGTATTGCCTGGCTGCATGCTTTGATCAGCTGTGATTGCAATGTTCTCACTAATCGGGTAAGGAAGTTTGCAAATAATTTCCTTTAAAAAAAATCAACTGGGCCAAATTCAAAGTTATTCCAATTGTACCTTCCCTCTCACTCACTGGAATGAGAGGGAAAGATGCAGAGTTCCAAGTTATGTAGCTATGTGAGCATCGCCTGGCATGTGTACAGTGGCAGAACAAAACCTTGAGAAGTTCTCAATCTCCCTGATCTCATTTTTGTCTCTCTGGGAAGTCCATTGTGCGCTCTCTCATGCTATGCCCTCCTGCCACCTCATCTTCTTTTAGAACAGGGTTACTTGCAGATCCGAGGCAGAGAGGGTGCAGTGTATCAGGAAAGCAGTCCTCCTTCAACCCTGGGTCCTGTGGATCGGAATGGAGAGTCAGGCAGAGAGAGGAGAGAGAGAGAGAGGGCACAAACCCTGGCAACTAGCAGAGTGTGAGCCCCTAAGGTTCACGGTCAGGTGCCTCAGTGGTCTGTTTAAAAGGCAAAGTGGGGGCGCAGTCTGCTAGGTAGGAACGATAACTCACAGTTCTTTTCACTGGCTGCCAGCTTGGCATATATGGGTGCGGTGTTCTATTTCTAATGCCAAGGCAGCACCCTTTGCTGTGTTGTTCCTATTCCACACATCTCTTCTTTTCTGCCGGTGTCACTTTTCAAATCAAAGAGCAAACTTTCAGCATTGAGGAATAATTCAGGGTACCAGTGACTAATACTGCAACTTATATTGCCATAATACAA